GTCATCAGCATCAGCATCGTCATCATCATCACCACCAGCACCATCATCATCGCCATCATCAGCATCGCCATCATCATCATCATCATCATCATCATCATCATCATCATCATCATCATCATCATCATCATCATCATCATCATCATCGCCACCATCATCATCATCAGCATCATCATCTTCATCATCATCATCACCATCAGCAACATCATCTCCATTAGCATCATCGTCATCATCAGCATCGTCATCATCATCGACATCACCGACCATTCTTGCAATGTTCATCGTCACCGTCGTAACCACCCCAGCCGAACAGCGCCACCACCATCCATACACCCCAGCTACCATCGTCGGCGTCATCCTTACCATGACTGGCACTGCGTAGCACCTGGAACGCGACTTTGTTCACAGAGCCGTGGTTGGTGAAGTGCGCTGATCAGCGTGCGAACAGATTTGTTTCAACTACGGTGACTGATCTGCCAGCGGGCGAGGTGACCAATCGGCCCCCGAGGTCCCTGAGGGTCCTCGGAAGCCCTGGGGGATCTCAGGAGGCTCAACACTCGGCGACAAACGTGCCCCTGGACCTCGCTTACTCGCAAGATCTCTTATTCGCATGTGCCTATTGCACATGGCTCTGCCTCCCCCCCCGCTGCTCCTTTCCCTCCCCGCCCCCCTGCCCCTTCCTTCCTGCGACGGGGCACGGACGAGGAAAAATCCGTTCCAGAGCGGTCTGGAACGCTCTCAGAGCGTTCTGGAGTGCTCTGGGAAGGCCGTCGCGCCGGAGACATCCTCCAGAGCCGGCGGATCATATACTTCCGATTCTTAGGCTTACGCCACACCGCCGACCCCTTGTTTATGCCAATCTGGGGGTAGTAGAAGCTGCGAAGGGGTGAAAAGGCGAGTGATATTTGTTTGGTGTCTGTTCGCCGCCACCGCCAGAGGGTCTCGGGCAGTTCCGCGGGGAGGTCCGAGCGGACAGCGACAATGCGAGTTTTGGAGCCACTTCGGGGGCCGTTTCGGAGCCTCTGGGGTGCTTCTTGGGGGTTCCTTGGGGCGTCTGGGCGGCCTCGTGAGGGCCTCTGGGGGCCTCTTGGGGCACTCTTGGGGCCCCCTGGGGCTCCTGGGGGCAGAAAGCTAGAGTTTCAACATGTTTGGTCGCCCTCTTGGGCCCCTCGTGGTGCCGTCTTGGAGCCCTCTTGGGCCGTCTTGGGGACCTCTTGGGCCGTGTTGGGGCCGTCTTGGGCCGTCTGGAGGCCGTCTTGGGGGCCTCTTGGGCCATCTTGGGGCTGTCTTTGGGGCCTCTTTGGCCGTCTTGGAGCGTCGGGAAGCCGAAAAGGCGGAAAAGCAAAAAACATCGAAAAACACAATGGAAAATCAACAATTTTAGACTCTTGGGGCCCTCTTGGGAGGCTTGTTTGGGACCTCAGGGGCCGTCTTGGAGACCTCTTGGCCCGTCTTGGGGCCATCGTGGTCGTCTTGGAGCGGTCGTTTGGCTTCTCGGAGCCTTCGTGGGCCGTCTTGGAGGCCTCTTGGGGGCTTCGTGGCCCGTCTTGAAGCCCTCTTGGGCCAGGAAAAGCCCCGTGGAGCGCTCGTCCTGGACCCCCCCCCCCCTCCAAATCGACCGGACCGGGCTCCCGGGGGAGGGGTTTGGGGAGGGGGAAGCATCTCACACGCCGATGATCCCCAAGGGGTCGGCGGATTTATCCTCACCCGATTTTGTCTTCGTCCTGGCTTCGTCTTACCCTCTCTCCCTCGCTGCTGCTCGGCCTGCTCGCCCTCCTGCTCCCGCTCCCGGAGCCGTCTGATTGGTCCATCCCGAAGCCGCTTTGGAGCCCTCTTGGGGCCACCTTGAGCTCTCCCTGGGCCACCTTGACAGGGCTCATTTCGACTCGTCCGACTCGATTCGATTCGGCTTCGGATTCCAGCTTGGATTTCGGTTTCTTACCAGAGGCTTGACAAGCCAGCCGATTTCAGCCAACTCGACTTCTCCCGACTTGGCTGCCGATTTCCGCCGATACGATTCATCTCTACCGCCGATCCGATTTTATCCATTCGATTTTGGGCCCCTTTGGGGGCCATCTCTTGGCCGTCTCAGAGACCGCCTGGCGGTCGTCCCGAGCGCCACCGCTTTGCCTCCAGGTGCTTGGGCTCGCCTCCCTCGCGGGCGCCTCCACGACTGGCCGAGCCCCCCGATGGGGGCACGCCGCTCTGGCCTCCGGGCCCAGGCCTCCTGCTCCGGGGCGTCCGGTGGTCCTCCTCCCGCCCTCCCGCTCCCGCCCCCGCCCCCGCGCCCCCCCCCCTTCGAGGCGCTGGCGCGCTCGCGCCAGCCTCACGGGCGTCTCGAGCATCGGATCTGATCTGCGCCTGCCCCTCCGATCTGACCGGATCACGGGCCCCCTCTGCGCCTCCCCCTCTGACCTGCCGTGCTTCAGCAGGGGAAGAAACACACAGACACAATTAATTGTCGACTCCCAGGAAAATATGGGAAAATATGGGAAGTGGGGGGGAAGACAAAAACTCAGAAAATATAGGAAAATATGGGGAATCTTTTTATTTGTGTGTATTTATTTGTGTGTCCCAGTTTCCCTTCAGTGCTCTTCTGCGACGTGCCGCTCCGCCCCTCGCGCACCCTCGTGGGATCACTGCCCTGCGCGACGTCCGGCTGTGCGAGCAGGGAGGAGGTCGAGGCCACGGCAGGGGACGGGAGGGGGATGGCGCAGGGCGTCAGATGTGACGCCGGCGCTCCCAGCTTGGCTCCTCCCCCCTCCCCCTGCCCCTCTCCCCCCATCCCTTCTCTCCCCCCCCCATCCCCTCCCCCGCCCTTCTCTCCCTTCTCTCCCCCATCCATCCCCCTCCCCCCATCCCCTCCATCCCTTCTCTCCCTTCTCTCCCCCTGCCCCACTCCCCCCCCTTCATCCCTTCTCTCCCCCCCCCCCCGCTGCTGCCTGGCCTGCTCGCCCTCCCGCCCCGACAAGCTGCCGCCCTCGTGCCCCCGCCTGCCCCCCCCGCCCCCCGGTTCTCGAGGTGCTGGTGCTCGCCATCCTCACGGGCGTCTCGAACTACCCGCACGTGCTCACCCGGATCCTCCAGGGCGACGCCATCAAGGCTCGGGAGCCTTGAGACGGGGGTCCATGCAAACGGGGGTCAGCCAGAGCGCCAGATTTTGCAGGATCCTGCGACGACCCCCTCTGGCTGACCCGGGTTAGCGAGCCGCTTGTGGCCGCGAGGCGGCCGCGCATATTGGCTGACACGGGTTTGCGAAAACCTGCGTTGCAGTTTTTTTGTCTTGCATTGCACTTTTTTGTTTTCCTGCTGACCTGGGTCTGGATTGACCCGGGTCAGAAGATCCCCGAAAGGCCACGGCGCCAACATCGCAGCGCGGTCTTCGCTCGGAAAGCAGTGGGGGATGGGCCCAGATTGGTCTTGGAGAATGTCGTTCTCGACTTCCAGATGCATTTTGCCCGGGTTTTCTAGGGCCAGGAATGAAGACTACTACAAATCCAGGTGGAATTCACTTCGTTTTTCGATTGCCTTTCGGGTTTTGCATTGACAGAAATCAGCGCGAAAATCCGCTGTAGCACGTCTGCAAGGTCGGTGCAGTGATCAAGGCGGTGCGCTCCCGCGCTCTATCCAGCCGCCCGTCCCCGCTCTCCCTGCGAGCCTCGAGGGGAGGGCGAGCCGAAGAGACAGCGGCAGACGGCATTCGGGGGGCCCCTATCGTCGCCACGGCTGGACTCAGCTCGGGGAGGAGGAGGAGGAGGAGGAGGAGGAGGAGGAGGAGGAGGAGGAGGAGGAGGAGGAGGAGGAGGAGGAGAATGGGGGAGACAGCGGCAGCTTTGCCTTCTGGGGGCCCCTCGTCGCCACGGCTGGACTCGGCTCGGAGAGCTGGTGCGTTTGAACCCCCGGAGGAGTTCTGGGGACTCCGCGGAGGAGGAGGTGCCGACTGCCGCTGCCCTTCCCTCGGTGTTGCCGCAGTGTGCTTCCTGGTGGGCCCTCGTCGCCACGGCGGGATTCGCATCGAGATTCTGGTCGGAGCGCACCCCCGGAGAGGCTCGTGGAGCAGCGGCATCGGTATGTACCTCTTGGTTTCCCCAGGGGCCGTTTCTGAGCTGCCGTCGTCTCAGCTCGCCCTGCTGCTAGAGCGGCCCAGTAGGCGGCCGCCCACCGCCCGTCCTCCCTCGTCGCCCCTCGCCTCCGCCGCTCAGGCTTCGCTGGGCCTGGACGCGTGTGCGCACTGGTGCTCGCTCGCTCGCTGCCCTGATACATTGCAGGGGTCATCAACAGAGAGAGAGAGAGAGAGTTGTTTCGGTGGCAGAGCACGGGAGCCTGGTGTGCCCTCTTGACTTCGTCTTCGGCGTCGATCGGCGTTCATTAACGTCTGGGAGTCGATGAGATAGCGTCGGTTTAGCGTCGGCTAGCGTCGATTAGCGTCGATTTAGCGCCGAATTAGCGTCGATTAGCGTCGACTAGCGTCGATTAGCGCGTGACGGTAGTTACCCGGCCCCCCCTGGTCAACGGAAACGAACACACGTACAGTGGAAGCCCATGCCAAGACACACCCTGCTCGCCTCCAGGGTGCCCTGGGCTTCTTGGGCTTCCAGGGGTTTGCCAATGGAAAGAAAGCCACTCCCACACCAAGAATCAATGGACGCCCTGGTGTCTCGGGGTTGGGTTTCTTGTGGAAGGCTTCCCGTTGCCGAGCTCCTGCTGCAGGGGGGGAGGGGTCCTGGACCCCACCGCCTGCTGGTGCTCGCGCGCTCTCTGTGGAGCTCGCAGCGCGCCCCCCGCCCCGAAGTGCCCCACGCCGCCCGAGCGTCACCACGACCCGCCCCCGCCCCCCACCTTTTCCTCCTCCTCCTCCTCCTCCTCCTCCTCCTCATCCTCTTTTGCGCCATCTCCTCCTCCTCCTCCTCGCCGTCCTCGTCCTCCTCCTCGCTCTCCCCCCCAAGGGTAATGACCGTTACCGGACCCATGGCAAGCAAGCAAACTCAGAGCCTTGAGAGGCGATGTTCTCGCAGTGCCCCGCGTCATCTCAGCAGCCGGTCGACGGCGTCCTCGACCCGGACGAGCTGCCCTACGACGACCCGACCGGGCTCTGCGGCATCCACAGCGCCGCGGCGCTGACGAGCCTCCTGCAGCTGCTGTTCAGCTCGGCGGCGCTGCGCTTCTTCCAGACGGCGGTGACCTTCGGCGCCCTCACGCCCGCCGGGCTCTTCGTGCCGTCCCTGTTCGTGGGCGGCTGCATAGGCCCCACGGGGGGTCGGGAGGGCCGGGATCAGGATGGGAAAAAACACTCAGAGACAATTAATCTTCGATTCCCCAGAAATTCTATTGGAAAATATGGGATGAGGGGGGGGGGTAAGACAAAACCCCGAAGACATATGGGAAAATATGGTGGATCCTGTTCTCTGTGTGTACTTATTTGTGTGTCCCAGGGCCCCTTCACAGGAGGCCGGGGGGGGAGCGGGGCGAGGATCGGGGGCGGCAGGAGGGGCGGACAGGCGGGCCCCAGGGGCGTGCAGGGCACGCCTTCGCGGGGGAGTCCCGTCGGAGGCGTGGGCGATCGGAGCCCCTGGACGCCCGCGGTGCCCCACTTCCCCCCCCCCTGGGGCCGCGCGCCCCCGGCGCCACGGCGCCGGGGGCGCGTGCCCTTGCCTCGTGCCGTGTTCCCCCGCGCGGGCCCCCTGGGAGGCCCTCGCCGCCACGGCTGGCTTCGCCTCGAAATTTCCAGGCCAGAGCGCGCCCCGGGAGAGGGCCGCGGGCTGGCGGCAGCGGTGCCTCTCGGGCTCCCCCGGGTGCAGTCGCCGAGCGGGGGGGGCGGCCGGCCGATCGTCTCGCAGCGGCTGCCGACTCGCTCCGGGCGCAGGTTTGGGCCCGATCTGTTTTGGCGGGACGTCTTGTCGGCGGCGAGCGAGGGGTGAGAAGGACGAGGCCTTCTCAGAAGGCCACAGGGCTTTTTCACAGGCCCTCGTGCCTTCTGAGAGGTTTTTTTGTTTGTCTTCGGGGAAGGCCCAGAGCACTTCTCAGAAGACCACTGGGCTTTTCAGAAACCCTCGCGCCTTCCGAGAGGTTTTTCTGGTCTTCGGGGAAGGCCTCAGCCCAGAGCACTTCTCAGACGGCGGGGGGACTTCCGAGCCTTCTCAGAAGGCACGCCCTTTGTCACTTCCCCCCTGGGCTGGCTGCCGATCCTCGTGCCCTGGCCCTGACTGGCTGGCTGGCTGGCTGGCTGGCTGGCTGGCTGGCTGACTGGTTGCACCTGCGAGCCAGCCGTTTTTTATGGTTCCGCGCCTTCCGCCAGCCCATGGTTGTATCATCGGTGGTGCTTGCTGGTGTTGAGAGGGGCCGTTGGCTGAGAACGTGAAGCCAAGAGGGGGATGCGTACCAGTAACAGCGAAGTGACTGAGGCTCAGCCCACGCAGCCCCCAACAAGGGGCAACTTGGAGTCCTGCTGGAGGCCTGCTGGAGGCCTCTTGGAACCATTTTCAGGCTTTCTTGTGGCCGATTTCGCAGCCTTTTGAGGTCGTCTTGGGGCTCACTCGGGACCCTCCTGCGAGCATTCTGGGGCCTCTTGGGACTGTCCTGGATGCCATCGGCTGACGGCTCTCGGAACTGTCCTGGATGTCTCTAGGACCTGTCCTGGATGTCCGGGTTTGAGACAGGAGAATCATTCGCGGGAGTTTTTTGAGGACGCTCTTCGAGCGACCTCAGGGGTATTCGGAGCCCTTCTTGGAGCCTTTCCGGGTGCATTTTGGGGCTGTCTCGGGCGCTCTTGGAGCCTTGAGGCGTTCTTGGGCCTTTCTTGGCGGTAGCCCATCGGAAAGAAAGTGCGATAATGACACCTTCATTGGATAGCACTTTCTTTTGCTGCTTTTTGGCTCCTTGGGGGCATCCTGGGTAGGCTCCGTGGTCAGTTGTAGCCGTCTTGTGGTGGTCTCGGGGCCTCCAGGAAACAGGTTGAAGGCTATCTGGCGGTCAGGAGAGCTCCATTATCCTCTTGGAGCCTTCTGGCGCGCTCATGCGGCGTCCTTGGGTTTTGCCCCCGAGACGCCCTAAACAGCCAGAGCACAGCCTTCATACAACCCAAGAGGGTCCCAAGAGAGACCACAAGAGACCAGAACGGTCCAACGGACTTTTGAGACACGCCCAACATATCCTGAACATGCGCCGACATTCACACATGATTTACTAAGCGGACAAGCGGGCGCGGCGACGCGCCAGACGGTCCCTCGCGCGCGGCGCCAGAAGCCCACGCACACACACACACACACACCACACCACACCACACCACACTACGCCACGCAACTCAACACAACACAGCACAACACAACACAACAACACAGCACACCACAACACAACACAACACAACACAACACACCTCAACACACCACAACTCAGCACAACACAACACACCACAACACAACACAACACAGCACAGCACAGCACAGCACAGCACAACACAACACACACACAACACGCACATTCACACACACGCACACGCACACGCACACGCACACACACACACAACCACTTTTTAAGTCAGCAGCGGCGCAGAGGGTCCTTAGGCGCAACAGATGGAAGTGCTGATTGCGAGCGAGCGCTGACAATTGCGCAGCGCACAAGCGTGGCACACTGCAACATGAAAGCGATGGGTTCATACACCGACACACACACACACGCGCGCGCGCTTTTTTCGGCGTCGCGGCCCTGCGCGCAGCGACAGGGCGGAGAACGTCGTGGAGCAGCAATCGCGCCCGCGCGTCGAGGAGCGTCGCACACACGCACACGCACACGCAGACACACACCACACACACCACACGTGCGCAAACCACACACCGCGCACGCATACACACCTGCATACACTGTTCGGTCGTCCGCGGGCAGGCGCACTGCCATGCCGTCAAGAGGTCTTACGGGGGCGCGCACGCCCGTGGGTCAAGGAAGGCTCGGGGCCCTCGCAGGGCGGCGGCGTCAGCGGCCGCGTGGCAGCGGCGGGCCAGGGGCAGCGGCCGCTGGGCGGCCCGGGGGCTGGCAGCGGGGCGCGGGGCGCGGGGCGCGCAGCAGCGGGGCGCGGGGCGCGCAGCAGCGAGTAAGCATCATCATCATCATCATCATCATCATCATCATCATCATCATCATCATCATCATCATCATCATCATCATCATCATCATCAGCGATGGACACCAGGACGCCGTGGGAGAAGGAGCCCTCCAGATTTGGGCCACCACACACAAACATACAGAGGCTCTTTGGCTTCGCAGTCGCGCGCGCAGCGACGCAGCGGAGTCGGTCAGGTAAGTGCCCGAATAGTTCAGCCGGGGCCCAAGACGAGCGGCTGGGGACTCGCGCAGCGCTGGGCGGGAAGCACGGGGTTCGTCTTTTGGGGAACTGCGCATTGCCCCCCAGTTCGTTTGCAAATCGCCTGCGTATGGATGCTTGCAGGTTGTTATGTCCAGCCAGCCGTTGGTATTATATTAAATCCAATTCCGCCTAACGATACCCCCAAGGCCTCCAAGAGACATGTAACGTCGCGCTTGGTTTCGCAACCCCGCGCGTGTGCCGCGCAACCTCTTGGGATGAAGTTTCTTTGGAATCTTTCTGCATCCGTAGGGGTTTGGGCTCAGACTCCGCATCATTTTCGCCTCCACCTCCTCCTCGTCCTCCTCCCTCGTGTTGTGGCGCCGCACGTTACGGCGCCGAGATCAGGGCTTCACGCCCCAAGAAGATTTCCTCATCCTCCGTCTCCAAGTTATTGTTTTGCCAAGGAATGCCTGGGCGCTCGAGTGAACTGGCTGCTCGCGCCAGCGTGGGACGCCCACTGGTGAGCTGAGCCAATTTTTCCAGCCTCGAACGTATCCCTATCCCTAAGATCGACACGCCAAAAGGCGATGACAATCTTAGGGGTTCGCCCTCAAAAAATAAGTAAATCCCTAAGATTGGCATCGTGATGAGGAGGTGCCCAGCATAGGGATAGGGATATGTTCCAGGCTGGTAATATTTTTTTTTCGGCCACCAGACCTCGCTTGAAGCCCTCCGGGGCTTCTTGGGGGGCCTCCGAGGGATTCTTCGGGCCGACGGGAAGCTTCGGGAGTCCGAAAAGGCTCGAGAGAAACCCAAGAGGCCCCATCCCAGATGCTCCGAGGAAGCCTGCCGAAGCGTAGTGCCGGGAGCTTCTAGGATGGGCCTTCTTGAGGCTTTCTTGGGGCCCTCTGGGGGCCTTCCTGGGGCTTCTTGGATGCCTCCCAGGGCTTCCTCGGGACATTTCGAAGGGAGCCAGGAGAGCTCCGAGAAGGCCCGAGAGAAGCCCAATGGAGAGCCCCTCCTAGATTTCCAGGAAGCCTTCCGCAACGCAGTGCTGGGAGCATCTAAGAGGGGCATTCTCGAGGCCCTCTTGAGGTTTTCTTGGGGCCCTCTTGAAGTCCTCTGGGTGCTTCTCGGGGCCTTCCCAGGGCCTCCTCGTGATTTCGGGATGGCTTCACGAGGGCCACGAGAAGGCTCGAGATGACCCCGGGAGGATCTTGAAGTCGTCACTTTCAGCGCCCTTCCAAGTGGCAGTCTCAGGGCCCTCTCGAGACAATCCTGGGGTCCTTCCGAGGGGCATGCTAGCTACTCCCAGGAACGGGATCGTTCACTGGCTTCCGCAGGCGCGCCCCTTGGAAGCGCAATCCCAGATTTCCATCTCGGGGGCGAGGATTGGGGGAGGTGGCGCGACCGCGACCTGGCGTTGCGCAAACCTTCGCTCGCGTGCGCGCGAGAGCGAACCCATGCAAAACACTGTTTTTTGTCTCAGCCAGGTGTTTTGCCCATCGGTGTATACCATCATCGGTGTATGCTTGAGTTCCCTTTGGTTTCTAGCACTTTCCAGTATACACCAATCTTGCGGTTGGGGCGTGCGTTCCGTTTCTTTCACAGGCGACCCACGTGGAAACGGCCGTCGTCGATGCCAGGTCCGGCTGTCGCCCAGCCCCCGGCCCCCGGCAGGCTTGCAAGACATTCTGGGCAGGGACGCCTCCCCTGGCAGCTGGGCCCTCTGGAAGCCTTGGGGTGCTTTCAAACAGGGCTACATCCCTCGTCGAAATTGAACGCAAGTTTTAGCCGCGACCTGGCGGCGCCCCCCGAACCCCAATTTCAATGTTCACGCCGACGCCGGCGACTTCGAGATTCTCTTCGGACCCCGCCGGCCGCGATGCGCCTGTCGATGAACGTTGAAACGTGGGGGCGACGGGGGTGGAAAAAACTTGCGTTCAATTTCGACGAGGGTTGTAGGATCGGGATAAATCGCTCCAGAGCGTTCCGGAGCGCTCTCAGAGCGTTCCAGAACGTTCTCGAGCGGCCAGGGCGCCCAATGCATCCTCCAAACCCGCCGGTTTTCAGAGATTTCGAGTTATCCCGATCCGATTTTGTCCCGGTCTTCGTGTCGTTTCATGCTTCTCGTGGCAGTCCAGGGTCCCGAGAAGGCTCGAGAGGGCCCCAGGAGGCACCTTGAAGTTGTCACTTCCAGCGCCCGTGGAAGTGACAACTTCCAGGGCCCTCTTGAGGCCCTCGTGGGGCCTCTCTGGAGGCTTCTCGCGGGCCTTGGGAAGGCCTCGAAGGGGCGCCCAAGAGGTTCCGAGACATCACGATGACTTCACACGCCTCGCTCGAACAACTGATTGGGGGCTTCCTCCGGTGTGATTTGGGAGAGAGGATGGGGGTGGCACAGATTGTCCCTCATGCGTAGGGGTCACTGTGGGAATCGCTGTCCCTCGTGCGTGAGAGGAGGGATTGTAGCAGAAACTTCCCCTCATGCGTGAGCAGGGATTGTAGCAGAAACGGTCCCTGGTGCACGGGGAGTACAACAAAACGGTCCCTCGCGCATGAGGGGGTGGGATTAGAGGAAGAGCGGTCCCTCGTACATGGGGGAGGATTCCAGCGAAAGCGGTCTTTCGTGTATGATTAGGGGGAGGCTGTAACAAAAAAGGTTAGCCGCGCATGAGGGGGGATTGTGGCAACAATTGTCTCTTGGTCGTGAGGGGGCTGCAGGGAAAAATGCCTCTCGTTCAGGGTTGGGGGAGCAGCAGAAGTAGACCCTCGTACATGAGGGTGCTTGTAGTGAATGTGCCCTCTTTGTCACGAGTTGTTTGTAGCAAAAGTGTTCTTTGTACATGAGCGGGAGTGTAGTAAAGACGTCTCCTCGTGCATGGAGTACTAAATTGAAGCAAAACCGTCCGTCGTGAATGAGGAGGGTAGCAACAACAGCTATTCGTATGTTGGGCGGGATTGCTGCAACAGCGGCTCCTTCGTGCATTTTTTATTTTATTTAAACAACGTTGCCTTGTGTGTGCATGAAGGGAGACTGTCGCGATACCATTCGCTTGTGCGTGAGAGGGCGCTGAAGCGGAGGCACCGCCCTCGTGCGTGAGAGGGGATTGTAGCAGAAAGGCTCATGAGGCGGACTTGTAGCAACAGCGGCCCCCTCGTGCTCGAGGGGGGGGATTGTAGCAAAAACGGCCCGTCGTGCATGAGCGAGGCAGGGTACCCTGGATGGGATAATCATCGGGGGTTATTAATGGAACCCTCTCGGAGCCCTCTCGCAGCCTTAAGAGGGCGTTCATGGGGCCCTCTTGGGCCGCCTTCGGGGCCCCACGAGGCACCACAGAAGGCGCTACAAGTGATCGCTTCGAACTCCATGTCGTGGAGTTGGACCAGAGGCTCACCGAGACCCCTCCTGCTTCCAAACGGCCCCGGAAAGCCCCAGGAGGGCCCCAAGAGCCACACGAGGGGCCCCCAAGGGGCACTTGAGGGTATCGTTTAGAACTCCACGCTGTGGAGCTGGACCAGGGGCTCATGGGGACCCCGTTTGGAACCCTCTGGTGGCTCTCCTGGGGCCTCCCTGGGGGCCACTGGGGTCTTCTTGGGGCCCCCAAGATGCCCCAGAGAGGGCGCTGGAAGTCATCGCGTCGAGTGCTTCCGCGGCCGTTTTCTTGGTGGGGTGAGCTGTATTGGGAGCGACAGGGTGGCCACGCGCACGCGCGTCTGACAAGCGAGGGAACAGAGCTTTTCTGTGGTGACGCGTGTGGGGGGCGCCCGCGCGATCTTTACTTCGACGGTTTTCTGGCAAACGGTGTCGGTGTATGCTAGTTGGCCTCCCGGATGGCAGCGCCCGCATGGCAGCCCCGCCCCATTTCGGCACACCCTTCGCACGCATCGTGGCCCCATAAAAGAGGTCCACCGAAGGAGGTACACACACAACGACGGGATTCACAACTGGATATTGCTGGGCTCTTCGCCAGGTTAACTGTTGTTTACTCTTCTCACACGGATGCATCTCGATCTGTTTGTGAGCGTTTTCCATCAGCGGCCGACAGCGTTGTGAAGCTCTCGGGCGTTCGTTGTGGTCTGCGCTGCGCATGTTCATTGGGAAAGGTTGAGTGACTCTGACGGTGGGAGAGTATCGCAGGCTTGGGGGAAAGCCTGAGTAAAACGGAATCGCCCAACGTCTAAGTCGGTTTCGGTTTCGGTCTGTGTCGTTCGTGCTTTTGAGGCGACGCAGCGTGAGCTCCTTCACTAGCTGAGCCCAGGTCGCGTCAAAACGAGTTGCGGTCCGGCCCTCCAGGGCGTGCCCGCGGTGGTCCCGATGGTTGTCCCGATGGGTGTCCTGTTGGTTGTCCCAGAAGTTGTGCAGATGATTCGGTCCGATGCTTGATCCGATGGTTGTCCCGATGTTTGCCCCGATCGTTGCTCCAGTGGTTGTCCCGATGGCTGCCCCGAGGGTTGTCCCGACCGCTGTCCCGACGGCTGTCCCGATGGTTGTCTCGATGCTCGTCCCGATGGTTGTCTCGACGAATGTCTTATGGTTGTCCTGATTGTTGTCCCGACGGGTGCCCGGAGAACTGTCCCAGTGGTTGTCCTGACGAGTGTCCCGCACGTTGTCCCCGTAGTATTCCCGAGGGTTGTTCCGCTGCTTCTTCCGCTGCTTGTTCCGTTGTTGTCCCGTGGTTGTCCCGTGATTGCCCCGTGGTTGTTTTGTGAGTGTCTTGTTGTTCGCATGTGTTTGTTTGGTGGTTGTTCCGCGGTTGTCCCTCGGCTGTCCCGATGGTTGTACCGTGTTTTGTTGCGGTTGTTCTTCGGTTGGCACGTGGTAGTCCCGCGCTGCTCCGTGGCTGTCCTGCGATTGTCTCGACGTTGTCCAGTGGTTGCCCTGTGATTGTCCCGTGGTTTTCTCGTGGTTGTCATGTGATAGTCCCATGGTTATCCTGTGGTTGATCCTGTGGTTGTCCCCGAGGTGTCCCGTGGTTGTTCTGTGGCTGTCTTGCGGTTGTCAAGTAGTTCTCCAGTAGTTGTCCCGTTGTTGCCCAGTGGTTGACCCGTGGTTGTGCCGGGATTGTTCCGTTGTTGCTCGGTGGTTGTCCCGTCGTTGTCCCGCGGTTGCCGTTCGATACAAAGCGAGACAGAAAGGGTGTGAGATGTCAGTGATAGCTATTTCTATATATATGTGTATGTATAGACGTATGTTTTTGTATTTATTCCGTACCTGGGCTCTGCCTAGAAGGGTTCTTACTCGGTATGCTTCAAGGGCCGGGCAGTGGGGCCCGCCCCAGGCGGTTCCCCCAGGATCCGCCCCGCGGTTCCCCCAGTTTCGTCCCTTTAGCTTAGCGTTGCTTATATAATCTTAGCTTAGCTTATTTCATATTAGCTTAGCTTAGGTTCATCTTAGCTCAGGTTTATCTTAGCTAGCTTACCTTCAGCTTATCAAATCTTCTAAATCCGCGTGTAGGAGGACATGCCCGACCTAACGCTAAGCCAGAAGAGGTTGTTCCCTACCTAGGCTCTGCCTAGAAGGGTTCTTACCCTGTTGGCTTAAAGGGGCGGGCAATGAGCCCCACCCCGGGCGGTTCCCCCAGGATCCGCCCCGCGATTCCCCCAGTTGCGCCCCCTGGGTTCACCCAGCTTAGCTTAGCTAAACTTAACTTAGCTTAGTTTAGCTTATCTCATCTTAGCTTAGCTTAGCTTAGCTTTGCCTAGCCTAACTTGGCTTAGCTTAGCTTAGCTTAGCTTAGCTGAGCTTATCTCGTCTTAGCTTAGCTTAGCTTAACTTAATTTGGCTTAGCTTAGCTTAGTTTAGCCTAGCCTAGCTTACCTTAGCTTAGCTTAGCGCAGCCCAGCATAGCGCAGCGTAGCATAAGCACATCATAGCATAGCATATCATAACCAATCATAGCATAGCATAGCATAGCACAGCTCAGCATAGCATGGCATTGCATATCATAACACTACATATCATATCATATCATAGCATAGCATTGCTTAGCATAGCATTGCGCAGCATAGCACAGCATAGCATAGCATACCCTAGCCTAGCATAGCGTAGCCCAGCCTAGCATAGCATTGCGCAGCATAGCATAGCCTAGCCTAGCATAGCATAGCATAGCAGAGCATAGCATAGCATGGCATAGCGCAGCACAGCATCCACTATTGCTGCTGTTAATGTTGCTTTCCTAGGTATGGTCGCACTGGGATGCGTTTATCATACGCAATTGTATGCACACATTTGTTTATGCTGTGTCTTGCTTTGGGACTGCGAGGCCGGGCTTTCGGCGCGGTCCTGCAGTTCGCGGGCGCCACGTCGGGGCGTGGCGTCGTGGAGCCCGGCATCTACGCCATGGTCGGCGCCGGGGCCGTCCTGGCGGGCGTGTCGCGGATCACACTCTCGCTGGCGGCGCGGCGAACAACGCCCTTCCGTCCTTCTTTCTTTCCTCCTCCTCCTCCTCCTCCTCACTCCTCCTCTCCCCCTCCCTCCTCCTCCTACCATTTGTCCTCCTCCTCTTCCTCCTCCTCCTCCTCGTCCTCCTCCTCCCTTCTCCTCCTACCATTTGTCCTCCTCCTCCTCCTCCTCCTGCTCTTCCGCCTCCTCCTCCACCAAACCACTA